AAAAAAAAAAAAAAGAATTCTGGAACGTTTCCAAATTCTTCAGTGAACTGAAAGAAATCAGAAAGTTGGCTTCCCTGTGTGGATTCCCCCTGCCAAGCTGTTAGGAAACCTAGCAACTGCCTGTGTGTTAGTCCCCAAGGAACACAACAAGGGACCCCTCACTTCAGGAAGCTGCGGGCTATGGTCAGCCTACGTGGTGTCACCTCTACTCTAGGCAGGCTGCCTGAAACTCGGAACAGAGTGAGCTGCACTTACCACGCTGCGAGGTCCTGCCTGCTCCCTCCACGCTGCTGCTGGAGGATGCTTCGCTGCCGCTGAGATCAGCTGGTGTGGGCTGAAATAGGACAACGATGTGTTTGCTCAGATTCTCTCAGGTCACAAGCCCAAAGGTTATTACAAAATAGGAACAACACAAGTCACTAGACAAGCATGATCTAGGAGAAGAAAGAGTTAACAAGTAAAAGCCTGGAGAGACCAGAGGAAAGTGTCCACTCCAGAAAGAGGGTTAAAGAATGAGCTATAATTTTCCACACCCATCCAACAGCTTGTAGTAAGTGTGAAGAAACAAAAATGAGACCCTTGTGCTGGGGAGCTGTCTTCCCAGGAAACGTAGCACAGATGTGTGTGGATTTTATTCATTCATGGCCCATGGGCATGAAAATAGAGCCCAAGGGACAGGAAACACCAGCCCAAGAGGATGACTCTCCTGAATAAATTGGACCCAAATTAGTCCACAAAGCAGCAAGAGGGAATCAAACTATTAACATGTCTGCTTTCACAGAAAGGAATAGTCTTTGTTCAAGAAATTATTATACCCAGTCCCCTGGGGCCTGCTGTCCGGGCATGTTAGCACATGCCTGTAATTCCAGTGCTGGGGAGGCTGAAAACGGGATCACTATAAGTCCAAGCTGCGTAGTGAGACCATGTACCAAATACATAAATGGAAAAAAAAAGTAATTATTATATGGCCGCCTGCCAAAAAATTAAGAAAGGTCACTTGGTAAGAAACAGGACATAATAACCACAGACTACTTAAGTACTTGTGCTAAGTTTAAAAACTGGTCACAAACCCGGGGTATGAGTAACACAACAGTTACTTATTTGTGGGTCAACTCACCAGTTGCCTAAGTCCAGCACGGTGCCCTACCCCAAGTGGCTGCCCAAGCAACAATGGCTGAAGGCAAAACACATCTGTGTTGGAGAGTACTCAGGTTCCATAATATTATCAGATTATATGCCACAGAGTCCTACGAAAGTACACCTACTTTTTCCCAAGCAATTTAAAACCAAATCAAGCAACAACAGCTTAGGAAGTGAAAACCAAAGGCACACTCTCTCATCACTGGCCAGTAGGATCCCTCGAAAGGAGTCAAAGGTGAGGGAAACAGCTTTAACAGCAAGGAGAGGGGACGGGCGCAGAAGAAGAGAAAGGAAAGAAGCCCTCAGCTTACCAGCCTGTGCACCAAGGGGAAGGCCTGGGCCTCGGGGCTGTGGGCAGCACCTCGCGCTCTCGGACGGGCGCGTCCACTCATGTTCCCACGTAGCCCCTTAGAGTGGTCTCTAAGGCTGCAAAGTGTAAGACAGGGTAGCAAACA